ATACCCTGGAGTCCCTCAGTCCTTGGTTCTTGCCAACATGCGGCTAATACTTTCCGAAATTAGGTCAGCAGGGTGCGTCCCTCCTGGGAGAGTGTATATTCCATTCCAACAGATATCTCTGGAATTTCCATGTATTGGTTTGGGTACAAGTCCTTGCAATTGTGCTAATTTTCATTCACATAGCTAATGTAAATACACACTTGAGCATTTTGTTCATCTTATCGATTTGAGAAAAATCTAGATTTCAAATTTTGTTTCCTGATATGGCTGGCTCTGGCCTTCTGTTTGTCCCTCATCCTCTCCACTTCACCAGCAGCAGCCGTGCTTTCAGCCATTATACTCCCAAAGCTTGGAACTCCCTTTCTCAATGCCTTCACTTTGCTCCCTCTTTCTTGTTTTTGAAATCATACCTGAAGACCTTTCTCTTTGAACGTGCTTTTGGTTTTGTCCCAGCTTTGTGTAGCTCTCCACTGCTCCTAAGTGCTCCAAGATGATACTCCACGTGAAGGGTGCTACATAAATGCAAATTGTTGTTGTTGACACAAATTTTAGACCCCATCAAAATTTATGCAAATGTTCTAGAACGGCTACTAAATACATATATTTTAAACCCCAGATCTTTGTACAGAAATATTAAGCAGGAAGAGAACAGTGAAAAAGTTCAATTTTTATTAGTTATGCACAGAGAATCATTGAATGTTACAGATGCCATTCAATCCAAGTGTACACTGCCGATTTTCTTCTTTTAAATCACCTGACCTAGTCCCACTCTTCAAGACCTTGTGTTCTTTTATGATCCTCTTTTTCAAGCCTCCATTTAAATCTTTTTTTTAACGTGATTGATGCACTCCACCTCAGCAACGGTTTATGACCGAAAATACCACTTTCCAAGCATTCTCAGTGTAAATATTTTTTTCTAACTTCCCTGTTGTGGTTACCTTCCATTTTCAGAAAAGTAAATTTTATTTTTGATGTTCGATTAAAATTGAAAACAAACCTTGCATTTGATTATAGCACCTTTGCGTCAGGAGGACATCACTTCACATGATTCATTATAAAGTGTAGTCATTTAGTATTTTGTAAGTGGATGTGGCAGCTAGTTTACACACAGCATTGTCCCACTAACAGTGTGATGTGAGTGTTCAGTTTTACTTGAGGGATTGCTGACCGCAATACTGGGGGAAACTCCCTTCTCTTTTTGCATTGTGTCATGGGATCTTTAACATCCACCTGAACCGATGGTTTAATGTGTCATCTGAAGGATGGCACCTCCCATGGTGCAGCACACCCCTAGCACTGCAGTGTTAGCCCGCATGTGAGTCATAGTTCCGATGTGTGGCTTGAATCCATGATCTTTTGACTCAGAGGCGAGAGTGTTACCGACTGAGCCAGGCTGACATCTCGATGATGTTCAAAAACACATTCAAAACTTTCCGAGGACATGCAAATAAGGCATTATTTTAAGCTGTAAAACGTGAATATCTGCTGCTCTTCGGTGTGAGAACACCTGTGAACCTCACAGAGTAGCTTGGAAAGGGAGACAAGCTCTTTTTCTTATTCAGGGCTAGGCAAGGAGGGGCTTCATTTTGTGAGGTGTCCAGTTCCTTTTCTGAATGGAATTATTGAGTCAAGGTGGGAAATATGTATTCTATCCCATGACCACATCTCCTGCCAATTAACCGAACTTGAAAAGACTTGACATGCAGAGCTCCTTTGACATTAGTCACAAGGAGAATGATGATGAATACTCAAGAATAAAGTAAGAAATGGCAAGCCATTGCATGCTTTGCAGGTTGCAATGATGCTTTGAAAATAAAGTAATGTTTTGCATTTGCATGTGGAACACAAGAGTCTTAATGAGTGAAGCAACAAAAGTGGATCTCAACAAACTGCGAACACATTTCAAATTTGTTAATCAATTTACTTGATGAGCAATGGAACTGATAAAGATTGATTCTGTCAGCAAAGCTTAAAATTGTTTTTGTTTAGTGTTCTAATATTGATAGAAATGCGTCTGAATTTTTTCTTGATCAAAATTTTTCTTATAAAAGTACAAATTTGTGGTTTAAATAACTTGCTTTTGCATGTTAGAAGCAGTGGGAAGGAAAAGGCGCCTAACTTTCGTAAGAAGATATCAATTAGCCAAAAAGGCTCCAGCCTGGAGAAATGAACCTGTTTTGAAAATGGCCCCTCCCTCATTGCTTGTCTAGAAATAGATTCCTCCCCTTTGGGAGTTTTTTGCTCTGTTTAAAAGTGCAGTGCAGCCGATCACTCTCTCACTTTTAATGTGACCATTGGAGCTGTGAGACCTCAGTAGGACTGAAAAATCGAAGTGTGCACTAAGAGCATCTGAAACTTTTCTGAACCATATACGCACCAGGGAAGGAAGGCATCAGCTGCTTTTCAGTGTGAGAACACCATTACTCAATAGTGGAAAACTCAGTATCAGACAAGGAAAAGAAGGTAGGTTCGTATTTTGTTGCAGAATCAATATCTTCAGATTTGTACAGATAAATTAATGATTAATAGAAATGTATGGAGTTGTTTGCCACAGATGTTATGTATTACTGATAAGTGATCATGATTTTTGGAACAAATTAATGTTTGTGTTACTGAAACTTCTGGCACAAATTGGTATTTGCATCTTGCGTTAAGCCCTACGCCATAAAGTGCATTGCCTGGAGGGTACGTTTTCCATAGTGATATACAAAGGTACATTATGTCATTCTAGAACTGTTTTACACTGATACGTGAGTCACAAAATGTCTGAAAACTGTAGAACTTATTTTAACAGATTTAAATAGCTTGCAAAACTTTTTGAAAAAGCTGTAAAAATAGAATGAACTAATGCGCACAAGTTACCTTGATCTCATTTGACTTGGTTTGTATCAAAGATCTGAGTCTGTATTCTTTCTGTCACGTACTCTGCATTCCAAGACCATGAAAAGTTAGATTTTGTTGAATACACTTGCACAAGGATTTCCTGTGAATCTAAACAATCGTATTGCTTCCTTTTATTTTTGGCTGATAGTCTCATGTCCTGTTTTGGTAATTTCTTAAGCAAGAACTAATTCTTTAGGGTTTATTTTCAGATTATATCAGCTTTAAAGTATTCATTAAAAGTATTATTTAAATTGTATATTAGAGCACAGTTCAAGACATAGTCAGAGTTTGCAGCACTTTGTCTAATCTCCAAAATGGAATCAGAATTGTATTCCAAATCAGGTGACTGGAAACTTTTTTGTGACTCATAAAATGAGTCAAGCGATATGTGATTATCTAGAGTGAGGCAGACAATAAGGCACAGTGAGTTTTTTTTTACAAAAGAAATCATGCACTACAAAGATTCAGGAGAAGCCTTTCACAACAAAACAGTCATGCAAGTAATATTTGCCAGATATTGTCCAAAGAAAAGGTGCCTATTACACATTTATTTTTTGAAGACAAAATCAAGCTTCAAAGGCAAACTGCATTCTTGGAGGTGTGTCCTTTGGATGTTAAACTGAGTTGTTGTCTGCAAATTCAGGTGGACCTGAACAATCCCATGGTAGTGTTCTAAAAGAGAAGAAAGTTTCTCTGGTGTCCTGGCTAACATTCCCCAAATAAATAAAATTGGTCATTCATTTCAACGCTGTTTGTAGGACTTTGCTGTGTGCAAAATTGTCTGCAGCATTTGCTTACAAAATAGTCACTGTACTTTACATCATATCATGTGAAAGGCTTTGAGATGTCCTCCCAACATGAAAAATCATATATATATCAAATGCAAGGATTATTATTACTGGTAAGCATTCTCACAATATTTATTTTAAGTTTCCTTTAATTTTCTCTGCGCCTTACTGCGAATCAGTGTTCGAGTGGGGGAGAAAAAGCTGTTACTAAACAGACATTGAAAAGTTACAGAAAATTAGTCAAAATAAAGCCTGGGAAAAATGGAGTTTAAATTGATGTTTGTCTGTCTTTGTGTAGTGTCTGCTTGGTTGTGCTTGTTAAGCAAACTTAGAGTGATGCATACATAAGGTCTATTTGTATTGTATTTCTATTTGTATTCCAATAGAGTTGCTATGACTGAACCCTACTGCAAACAGCCACTCTTCAAACTAATTTTTTGAAAATAAAATTAAAGCAAGTTACTAGTTAAATGAGCTCCAATTACTGTAGCCATTAACCCTTCCAGTGAATTCACTATTTAAAGCAGCATCAAATAGAATTATGTGTGAACACTGCAACACAACAATTTGCATTTGTAACAAACATCCTGCTTTAATGTGGGATTAATGTTTAATTCACAAAAGAAACTGAGCAGGAAAAGAAAAGTTGTGTTGATCCAAGGTATGGTCAAAGGCAATTATCAAGAGAATATGAGCCAAAATTGAGAGATTGAGTAGACTGGTTTTAAGGACATTCGGATTTTAAGAAACAGAATTCTATTGTATTCCCCCCCCCCTTTTTTGTCTGTGTATTGTCATATGTCCAGAAATTTAGTGTGGGTCTGATCATTCTTGTGTGAGTTGTGTGTGACTGTGCATATAACGTATGTGAATCATGTAGCTTATGCCTTCATTATTTATGTTATAAATATATATTTATGTTATGTAATATATATTTGTGGGTTGATTGTGTAATATATTGAATTCTAGCCAAAGAGTCATAGAAAGGAATAAATCAAATGGAAAGCAATATGTACAAACTTGCCCGTACAGTGGGAGTGGTTCCATTTACTGGCCTTCTCCAGAGTGTGCATGTTCCCACTTGTTTCACTCTTTGGTTGTATATTCACAACAGACGGGCAATTCTTTCCCTCATAACTGGGATGGCCAAGCAGCTGTTAGGTTAAAATTGCAGAGAATTTTTTAAAAAATAGGTGTGTTATACAATTTTAGGAAGAAATTTGTTTGTTTAAATAAATGAAACGTTTTCAAATATTGTACTGCAAATCACCTACCTTTCTCCAGAAACTGTTTTGACAGTGAATTTTGTTATTTCTTGTGTGTTTTCAGTTTTTCCTGAACTTGTAGAAAACACTGTTGAGAAATTTGCAGTTTCGCAACTCCTGGGGATTGGCGTAATCCTATTTGCTGTTAATATTGCCTCAAGCAATTCTCAACTCCCAGCACGACAATCTCATTTCGTGAAATGGACAGCAAGACACCTGAAGTCAAGCGAGGCGGGACTGACTCTAAACAGGATTACCTTTGCCAAAAAGCCGAAGTACTAGAGAGAGAACAATGGCAAAACAAAATGGAATATGCTCTTTCTGTTGCTGGAGAAATTATTGGGCTGGGCAATGTTTGGCGATTCCCTTACCTTTGTTACAAGAATGGAGGAGGTAGGCTTGAAGAGAAATTTAAACGTTTCATTTTAAGTATTTACAAGGTTAAGGACTTTGAATTTGAAATTAAGTTTTCAATAGAAAAATCCATTTCTCTTGCAGGCTATGTATTTAAACCAGTAATTGTATTTAAATCAATAATTGTATACACTTGAGTTTTACATACATTGACAGCAATGCCACCAGATGCTGATGTGTCTTTTTCCATGCTAAATGTGTTTTCTTTCAGGTTACCTTTATAAATATAAAATCATTTATAAAGTGAGAGAGCTCTTGTAAATGTGTTTATACTAAATAGAAAATTGCAGAACATTTCTAACCTTTAGAGCTAACTAAATTAAACCATTTCACCCCTTCAGCTGTGGCCTTCATAATTGTAACTTGACAATCCTTGGGGTGGGGGTAGATAAGCAATGTGTTTCCTTAGAATTGAGCTGGCTTCAAGGTCAAATGCATAGCAAGAATCTGTGGCAGTTTGAGTTATTTGTTTTGTGAGCCAAGTGCAAGGTACTGATGATTACAGACTAGCCAGCCTAGCTCCTTGGCAGGTCTTGGAAGGTAGACTGTTAGAGATAAGGATTCTTCCCAATTGGCTCTTGTTAATCCTGCAAATGCTTGGGTGATGCTTGAATGACAAGTAGTGGTAAGGCACATGTTGGATAAATGTAAGCTTGGACAGACATTCAGCAGTTTCTGCTTGCTTGAACTTTAGGAGGAAGGGAAGAGGAATTCTCTTATCGGATCGTTCCTCAGGCGATTATGTGATTCTGTAGCATCCATAACAAAGTGATTGCATGATTTGTAAAAGGCATTGGTTTATTATAATGAATTTTCTTCATTTTGTTTGGTGATGCCATCATAAATTATGGCAAATTTATGTAATCACAGAATTAATACTCTTTAAAAGCACTCTTGATTGTTCTCAATAAGATAATTAAGGACTTCTCTATGCTGGTTTTCTACTCAGGTTGTCATTGTCTTTGGCACCAAGTAACATGTTGTAATTGTATAGTTGTTAACAGGCAAGATGAAACTCTGGAGCCTCTGCTAAGGAGAAAAATCCATTTGTGCATCTTATATCTTGGGTCCTATTGCAGGACCTGTTGTAACTTGCCAAGTTTGGTCTCAAGTCTTGCAGAAAAGTTCTAACACTTATGTTCTTCATCTGCACTTTGCAGCACACTAATGGTCTGCAAATGTGTTACATTTGATATCAGATCTGTTCAAAAACTCTACCTTCTGGTCTAATACCAGTTTGCAGAAACGGCAGACTTTGACTGTTGCTAGCCAGAGGTTATCATTGTATGTTAACACTGAATGTGTATGTTCTGGTCATGAAACAGGACAGATTGATGACATCCTTCATTTGCTTGTTCTCCTGTGTCTCCCAATCCAATGGGAGGTGCGCAATACGCACGTCAGTGATGAAAGGAGGAAGTGGTAGAACGTCAGGGGTTCCCCCTGGTGTCGGCCAGCCGTTCCTACCACTTCAAAGACATTAATCAGTGCGCTCAATGTTTAGAGCACTCGCCTCACAAGTGCGAGACCTGAGTTTGATTCCTGGCAGGGCAAAATGTTGGGCAAGTTTCCTTACTCCACATTCCTCTGTTTACCTAGCAGTAATAGGAACCTGGTTGTTAGTCGATTGGTGGATCGCTTTTCCAGGGGTAATAATTCCTTCAAAAAAAAATTGGTCACTTCAAACCACGACTGTTTGTGGGACACTGCTGTGTGGAGTTGGCTGCCATATTTCGACACAAAATATGCATTCAATTCACTTTTCTGTGAAGCGCTTTGAGATGTCTCAAAGATCTAATAAAGCGCTATATCAAATGCGAGGATTATTATTAATCATCAAAAGCATTGAGGATCCTGACCCATCAGAATGAATTACTTAATTGCTGCATTGGAAACCTTTTCTCATGATGAGCTTGGCATTGCGATGGAAGACCAGCAGTTTGTTGGCTTCTTTTAAATGGTTACATTCCAGCAAAGATGACTTAATAAAATGTGATCTTCGCAACCTTTGGGGGTCGCTTGAGACCCTATGGTCTTTCTCCTGGAAGCACACCAGCAATGCCTTTGTGGTCTCAACTGAGATGTTTGAGCTGCATAGAACAAATTTGTCCAGAGTGTTCAGGATCTGGACAGTTGGGTAAACATTAAAGTGCTTCCTAGTCTGATCCACCTCTGCCTGCCCATCTTTGAAAACCTACCAAGACCCAAGTTGGAATTTGCTTTATCTGCTTGGGTTCTTAGTGGGCTTTAGAAACTACCCTATAATCACGGCCTTCACGATGGCTAGCCCCCTGGAGATGTTTTCTATGTATTGTGAGCTGCAATCAACTCAGACACACTCAACTGTTACAGGTTCTCAGAGCCAAGATCTTTGTGTCCTTCATTATGATAGTCAGTTCCATTGATCCAAGAAAGAGACCTGCTCACTCTGCTCCTGCAGTTAGGTGGTCTGAGCAACTCATAAGAATAGAAACTTGACGTACCCAAAGTTGAATTAATATATTTATAATCTTTATATATAGCGCCTTATCCCGTGGTTGAGAAGTCTCAAAGCGCTTCACCGAATATATTGTAAAGTGGATTGACTGTATTTTGTGGGCGAAAAACGGCAGCCAGTTCCACACAATAACAACAACAATCCTTGCATTTGATATAGCGCTTTTCACGTCGGGAGGACATCCCAAAGCGCTTCACAGAACACACTGTAAAGTGAATTGACTGTATATTTGTGGGCGAACGCGGCAGCCAATTGCGCACAGCAATGTCCCACAAACAGTCGTAGATTGAAAATGACCAATTTATTATTGTTTTGGGTTTTTGGAGGGATTATTATTAGGCTCCATGTTATATCCATTGGCAAAGTTTTCTACGCTTATGATCTATCTGATAGATATATGTGACCCACATTGGGGAGAGGAAGCCTTTAGATTGTAATACTGATTGGTAGTAAAGTGCAGTTATTCACACAGCAGTGTCCCACAAATAGTTGTGGATTGAGTGACCCAATTTTTTTTATATAGAGAGATTATCAGCCCCGGAAAACGATCTGCCCAACACCAGGTTCCTACTTAATGCTCGGAAAACAGAAGAGTATGGAGCAAGGAAACTTGTCCAAGTTTTCGCCCTGCCCGGGAATCGAACCTAGGTCCTCTCGCTTTTGAGACACGCATTTAACCACCATGCTACAGGACTCCACAAACTAAGCTATAACTAAGACTATGATTCTCACTGATGTTAGAAAAAGTCTATTATTTTTGGTCTGAGGGGCTTGAGTGGAGAAGGATTTGAGAAGACTTTTGCCCACAAAATACACAGTCAATACTTTACAGGATATCCTGTGAAGCGATTTGCGATGACTCGACAACATGATACAGCACTATATCAAATGCAAGGATTTTTAAAAATTATCTTTTAAGGTAGTATCCAATTTCTACTCCACTAAAACAAAGTTGTCGTTCTCCACCTCCCTCCCCCCTTCCATTCCTTGCCTGATGACCATGTAGACCAATCTCCTATGTGACATTGTTTTAACATATTTGCAGTGAATATTTCTTTGAAGTTTTATGGATCTGTTAATAATGCATCCCTCTCCATTTCTTGGACACCATTTCTGTTCCAGTAATTGCCTGCAGAAATCCACTATCACTTGAGTGATTTCATAGTCCTCAAGGAACTTAATGTACAATATATCTAAGACATTTTATGTTTGAATGCTCTATGTCTCCATGTCACCTTTTCATTTGTTAATTCTATCCTCTTAATATTTTCTCACCAGCCGGGAAATTCTAGATCTGTATCAGGAAGGCAATCAATGGTTTCCTTTGTGAATATGGAGACAAAGAAGTTATTTAGGATATCTGCTCTGAATTGGTCACATGATTCAATATCACTCTTAGAATCTTGTGGAGGCTCTACTGTTTTGCTGACTGCTTATTTGCTACTAGTATGTTTAAAAAAAACTTTCACATTATGTTTTATGTGTCCTACATTTTGAATCTCCCTTTCTATTTTATTTCTGTCTTTCCCATACATTTAAAATGACCCCCGGATTACTTTCTTTCTTGCCCAAATGTACAAAAACAACACTAACTTGCATTTATATAGCGTCTTTCATGCGGGGCAACGCCTCGGCGCACTTAACAGTAGTATGCTTAGCCGGGGTGGAGGGAGGAGGTGACCGTAAGCACGGTCGAAAAGGAAGATCTGCAGTCGTGATCTAAAAGATGGGAAGGAGCGGGTAAAGCAGAGAAATTGAAGAAGACAGTTCTAAAGTTGGGGGCATAGTGGTGAAAGTGCAGTCACTGATGGTGGAGTGGAGGGGACGAGGGACAACAGGAGGCTAGAATTAACCGAGTGGAGGCACCAGGTAGTGGAGTGTGGAGAGAGGGGGTAATAAAAGTTGGGAGGTACCAGGATGTGAAGGGATTTGTAGATGATCTGTTTTGTGATAAGGAGCCAGTGGAGCCTGGCGAGGACTGGTGTGATGGGGGTACGAAGTTTAGTGTTGGTGAGAATTTGGGTGGCGGAGTCTGAATCAGTTGTAGTTTGTAGTTAGTGTAGTTGGGGAGACTGGCGAGGAGGGCATTGGAGGAGTTGAGGTGGGGAAGTGTTGAAGGCATGGACGAGGGTTACTTTGCAAGTTTACTTTGAATCCATTGCAATGTTTTCTTCAAAGGTTTCCATGTTATCTTTGTGCTCTCCCTTCTAGCACTGTATCCCAGCACAGCCTTCACAGTTCTCTCTTCAACCCTTTTAGATCCATTTTTCTGAAATTAAAAATTGCTGTCACATTCTTTCACTTCTCCACTGGACTTTAAACACAACCATATTGTGATGGCTGCCCTGAGGTGCTGTCTAATTATAACTTACTCTTCCCTTGTTTAGCTGTTGCATAGTTCAGCACTTGGTGCAGGATTGTATCTTCCTCTTGATGTTCCTTCACAATTTCAGTTAATCATTAAACAGATCAATCGGGAAATGTATATTCTGTTTATCCCATTACATTTTGCCCACAAATATACAGCCAATTCTCTTTATATTCTGTGAAGGCTTTGAGATGTATAGAAGACTTGAAAAGCGCTATATCAAATGCAAGGATTATTATAAGGATTATTATTATATAGATTTCACAATTTAAACGTAGCAAATAGAAATTATCCATACCAATTATATTTGATCCCCTATACTTCCCTTATTTGAATTCTATATTTCTGGTTTGCCTGCCACTTTTAAAAAAAAAATTATTGTAGTTTATTTTCCTTTCTATATTGCTTAGGCTTCTTGGAAGACTTTATTGTTATCTTGCTTACAGAATGAGCAAGACTCAGGCAATGCTTGTCTATCAGGATCTTCCTGTTTTTTGATTCTGAAACTAATTCTCGTTTCCTACCAAAGGTTTCCTCATTTTCATCTGTGTGGCAGACCACTACCGATTTTCTCAACAGTCATCATTGGCACATCAATTCCATTACGTCAATGCTGACAAGGGCCATTTGTAATTGCAGTCTTTGTTAATCCTAATTATTGCTTGCCTCTTAACAAACAAAATATAATTGGTCAAACAAAGAATAGTTGTAGCTAATCGGAAACATTCTGGTTCAATGAAGGGCCAATCGATTCAATGAATGGAGCCTCCTTGAACTAGAGAGCATCTGTCAATGTTACTTCTTGGTACCTAGCAACTGTGATGATGCATGATTTGCATCTGGAATCTCAATATATGTTCTCCTGTAAATATAGACAGCTCTTCCTCACGTATTGAACAAGTGACTTATTGTGAAGAAGATGCATGAATTTAAGAAAAAAAAAGATTTATTTGTAGGGTCATCTTCATTCTTTCAATGGAAGAGTACCCTCCATGTGTGGAGGAATGATTGTTCCTTGCTTTTGTAAGGAAGGATTCAGACCAATGGACCCATTTCAGGCAGGCCACTCCCTCATATCTTGTGTGAGTAGAAAGACAATACTTCACATATCAGTCTTAAAAGAACCATCATGCCTGTGATTTTACCCTGTAATTAAATACTATGCATTATTGGGTAGGCACTCAGAGGTGATTTGGCAATGCTTTTGAAAAACATACAAACATTACAAAATAGTTACATGTGTAAAGGAATTAGAGAACTATGTGTGTGTTGGGGTGGGTGGGGTAGATATTACATCAGCTGCTATTGCAGTCTTTGCAAAGGTGGATTGCTTTAGAGAAACGGGGAAGACATTGGAATTAGGCAGAAGCAAACACAGGCATGGTAAACTCGATGGAAAGGGTCACTTCAGCAGTTCTGAGAAGCTCTCAGAGAAAATCCTCACAGCTATATTCCAGACTAGAAACAGCCATACAATTGCTGATATTCGAGTTGAGGACTTCGATGATCTGTTGACTTGCTGGTGGAGAAGTGCATTTCAATGTCCTATCCGTTTTTTCATAGTGGACAAATCATTTGTGTGCAATTAATATTGGTTCCTGTACCCATATCTTGTCCATAATTGAACCTCTTTCAACAAACTGAGTAGGACTCTGCACAGTGATGATCATTTGATGGAGAGGAATTGCTAAATCTAGCACAGTACAGGAAGGTTTCTATTTCACAGTATGTCTTTTGAAATGGATTACTTAAAATACATAAGGTTCCCGCAGACAGATTTTCAACACATAAATCCTCTCGGGAACCTCATACCAAAAAAAAATGGACCAATTTTGACTGTTAATTCTCATTTGTATATTTTTTTACAGGTGCCTTCTTGATTCCTTATGTTATATTCCTTATCATCTGTGGAATCCCAATGTTTTTTTTGGAAACTTCCCTTGGACAATATACAAGAGAGGGTGGAATCACATCCTGGAGAAAGATCTGCCCCCTCTTTGAGGGTAAGTATCATCTAGAACTCTGCAGCCCGTGTCCTCTCCCATTCTAGGCTGTGCGATCCTATCACCCCCATTCTTGCCCAACTCCACTGACTTCCCATCACACAGAGGATACAGTTCCGGATCCTGGTCCTCACCTTCAAAGCTCTCCACGGTCTTGCTCCCCCTACCTCTCCGGCTTCGTAACCCCCTACCACTCTATTCGTTCCCTCTGCTCAGCGGGCTCAGCCTGCTTCACGTCCCCCGCCTTGCTCGCCCCACTATCGGTGGACGGTCCTTCCGCCACTCTGCCCCACCCTCTGGAACTCCATCCCGCAGTCCATTCGTCTCATCCCCTCCCTTGCCACCTTCAAAACCGATCTCAAGACCCTCCTCTTCAACCATGCTTTCAATATCCCTGCCTCCCCTCCCCCAGCCCGACTCTCAGCCCGGGTCCATAACTCTGTCTGTCCAGCGCCTTGGGATGTCCTCCCGACGTGAAAGGCGCTATACAAATGTAATTTTGTTGTTGTTGTAACCAGTAATGGTTTGATTGTTTGCTTTATTGTCCACAATAGTAGAGCATTACTGACTACATCATTTTCTATTTCCAATAGCAGCTATATCTGATCTGCCCTGCATTTTCCACCCATCTTTGGAATATTGCCTACCTCTGCCACTATCTCTCTCTTGGGCCTCCGAGACACGAATCCATGCATTTATCACGTCCAGGCTTGACTATGCCAAAGCGCCGCTCATGGGCCAACCCAGCTCTTTCCCACACAAGTTGCATACTGTTCAGAACTCTGCAGCCCATGTCCTTTCCCATACTAGGCTCCGCCAGCCTATCACCACATCCTCATCTTGTTCCATTGGCTCCCCATCCCCCAGAGGATCGAGTTCAGAATCCTCATTTTCTCCTTAATGGTTCCTCCATGGTTGTGCCCCACCGTACCTCTGTGACCTCCTCAAACCGAACAAACTGGCCGCTCTCTTTGCTCAACAGGCACAGGCCTACTTCACATTTCCCGCCCTACGTGCCCCACCATTGGCATTTGGCTTTCAGCTTATTGCCCCACTCTTTGGAACTCCACCCAGGAGTCCTTCCAACTCTCTCCCTCCCATCTCTTCAGATCTGTGTCAAGACCTCCCTCACCTCTTTTAAGATATGAGAAGCTGTTGCAGCAAATGCTGGGGAGAATTTACAAAAACAGCTTCAAAATTTAGGATTCTTTAAGAATTTGACAAATTCCGTACGCTAGCTAACATGCTATATAAGTAGAATACATCTAGAGTATTTTCTCTCCAGCAATTATTTTATGAATTTTCAGGTCCAATTTTTCCAATCTCTATCTTGGACTTTTAAATGTATTTTTCACCAAATTTCAATCTGCAGTTTAATATATTCATGTTTGTGTTTTGATGTATTGTTTTTCTTGTTTCAAACATTTATTTGCCAAATGCTGAAGGTTACTTTCTTTTCCCTTTGGTAGGTATTGGATATGGCTCACAAGTAATAGTTTTGTACCAGATTGTGTATTACATCCTCATTCTAGCCTGGGCCTTCTTCTACCTCTTCAGTTGTTTTTCTGCTGAGCTGCCATGGGCCAACTGCAAACACGAGTGGAACTCAGGTAAACATGAAGCATACAACAATGTCATGTTTTATACCTTTTTATAATTTTAAGTGCAATTTCCGAGTGTCAGAATTCAGACAGCTTGTGCTCTGTTTGCAATACAGCTATCAAGTTAGATTAGTATATGGTTCTACACTGCAACTGTTAAAACAAAAGATAAACATCCTTTGGGACTGCTCGCATTTTCGGTACAATGGTATACCACTGAAAAAAATATTGATGTAGTGAAGTCTAAATTTGTGTGTCCAGATTCTTTTATGGGGAATCCTCTTAAGAAAGATCACAATTTACACCCTAAGATTGTTTATGTATTGTCTAACTAACTTTTTTTTAATCTTATAGATACCTGTGTGGCATTCACAAAGAACTCTTCAGTCAGCAACTTGACAAGTGCAATAAATATCACCTCACCGGTTGTTGAGTTTTGGGAGTAAGTTGAAGTATAAATTATATAAGATGGGAGTTTGCTGAAATAGGGTAGACCAAAAAATTGTTTCAATATTAAAACAGTAAGGGAAAATATTAAAACCCTAAGGAATTCAAAGATGAAAAAGAGAATGAACAGGAGATGGCGAACATATTAAATGATTACTTACTGGAAATTATCAGGGAAGACACTAAAATTTTGCCTCCCAAAATGCAGCAATGTTGTCTTGGTCTTCTTCCTCTTCTTGACTTTTGTCAGTTCCCTTTTAGGTTTCCTGTAAATTTAGTTTTTTTTTTGTCAACCGAGTGGCTGACACGTGCGAATACCCGTCACCACATTTAAAAGTATCCAAACTAGACTGAAGGTTTTCATGTTTGGAATGGAGTGATGTCCAATCTTGTTTGCCTTGTTTATCGCTGCCTCACACTGTTTTAACATATAAAGCGATAAGTCAACTAACACTCCTTGATCTCTTTCAGCTTCCCCCTTGACAAGTTCTATCCCATCCAATACTTGTGTTTCCTATTCTAATTTCCTATAGGTTTCAAAGTATTCCAAGGTACTAAAATAATTCAGGCTGCAGCAGAGGATTTAAACTAAAATGGCAGGGAGATGTGAAAAATTGGTGTTCCCTATTCTAGCTTCCTACTGAATCTTGGATTTGTCTATTATGTTTAATAATAATAAAACTTGCATTTGATATAGCACCTTTTACATCAGGAGGATGTGCTAAAGTGCTTCCAAGGATTTACTGTAAAGTCTAGTGGCTGTGTATTTTTGTAAGCAAAAGCAGCAGCCAAGTTGCACCCACAAACAGCCATTAATTGATTGACCAATTTTATTTGGGGGGTTGTTCTTAAGGCACTCCCTTCTCTTTTTAAATAGTGCCATAGGATCTTTAATGTCCACCTGAACTGTCAGATGGAGCCTTGGTTTAATATCTCATCCGAAGGATGGCACCTCCCAACAATGTAGTAAACCCTGAGCACTGAACTGGATTGTCAGCTTAGGCTATATGAGTTCCAAGTTCTGATGTGGGGTTTGAATTCCCAACCTACTGATTCAGAGGCTTGCATGCTTCCAACTGAGCTAGGCTGGAACCCTTCATTTGCCTCTTATTAGCTCATGTACATTCCCTATCAAATTCTTTTTGCAAGGCTTTTATAACCTTATCTGATTCCACTGTTTTCCCCCTCTCCTTACTTAGTTTAAATATTTTACACTAGGTCTGCGAAACATTTGAAATGTAATTTGTCATTCACTCAGATGTTGTTGAACTTGCTGTGGTCCATTATAGAATATTGGGTAGTTTGCTTCGTTTTTTTTTAAAAAATTCAAGATCAGATGAATATTCAATTTGAACGTGGATATATTGCTTTGAAAACAATATATAGGTGCACATTTTAATTTTTTTTCTTTACAGGAAACGCGTCTTGAACTTATCAGATGGGATTGAACATTTAGGAACCATCAAGTGGGAGCTGGCCCTTTGTCTCCTTCTGTCCTGGACTGTCTGCTATTTCTGCATCTGGAAGGGAGTAAAGGGGACTGGCAAGGTGAGAATAGAAAGTGGAATGTGTGTGGGTTATAACTTGCTGTTACAAATAAACATTCAGTCTATTGGTAACATTCATAACTCAAGTTGCGAATATTAAATCCAGAGGGCACAGGTTTAGATTAAGAAGGACATGTTTAGAATAGACACCAGGAAATATTTTCTTCATACAAATGATAATTTGGAATTAAAATGACATTTAGAATGGAATATCAGTGAGGGTGGTTGAAGCCAGGATGCCTGATGCATTTAATAATACTTGCATTTGATATAGCGCCTTATCACGTCTTCGACCCGTCTGAAAGCACTTCACAGAATATACTGTAAAGTGAATTGACTGTACTTTGTGGGTGAAACGCGGCAGCCAATTGCGCACAACATTGTCCCACAAACAGTCATGGATTAAGTGACCAAATTATTTTTTTTTTAAGAAGGGATTATTACCCCCGGAGAAGAGATCCAACTTAATACTACAAAGGAAAGATAATACAGTGGATATTTGGAAGGATGTGTTTGACAAGCCTTATTTATTGCACTTCCCTGGTAACCTTGTGAAATTTAATTTGTCATTGTGATGAGATGTATTACTCAACTCATCCATAATTAGACAGAATATCTTTTAAGCTGTTCATTTTTTGTTTTGCAGGTTGTCTATTTTACTGCTACCTTCCCGTACGTGATGTTGACCATCCTTCTGATCAGAGGCTTGACACTCCCTGGTGCTGTTGAGGGAATCAAATATTACCTTTACCCTGATATGTCCAAGCTAGCTGATCCTCAGGTAACTGATTAAAATTTATCATTGAAAAGGCAAGATTGTCCCTTCAATTTGGGGACCTTGATTTGAATCTAGCCCCAAAATTTACAGTTTTTATATATGCAGATATCAATTACCATGTGTCAAGATACCGATCACTAAGAATTTCAAAACAAGGCTGAGAGTTCCACGTATGATTACCACCTACACATGGAAATTTTCCTATCTGGAATAGAAAGTGTACTTTCTCCTGGGAGGAACAGACCCTACAGACCTAATTCTGGAGAGTAAAATTTGGTACAGGTTGGCAAGACAAAGTCTTGGGGACTCCAGAGTGTGTATTGTGGAACTACTGGAGCTCGATCTGTTAAAATGCTATAGTGTACAGTCTGACAAACTTCTTGATGCTTGTTCAGCAAGGACCACTGGATGCTTGCAGCGGTTGAGTGGCAAGAAGTCCTGCTTCCAGTGACTGTTTGCATCTTCCAAGTCCTGCTGACAAGCAAGGTTGAATGATCGTTTATCGTTGGTGCTCTGGAGTATTGAGGAACTGGCAAAGATCAGCATGAAATGCTTGAGAGCATTGCCACCACCAAGAAAAAAATCTTTTCTCAAATCATCCTGAAGACAAATAGAACTAATTTGAAATGTGTATACATTGGAGTCCCATTATAATGCAGAATTTAAAATCCTGATGCCAAAATTGGGTTTGATTGCATATGTAATCAACTGACACAATTGTTTTCTGCTCACGAACCGGTTTCGTGCTAGAAGAAAAATGTCTGTTTTTCAGGTCATTGCCAATGTCGCTTCACCACTTTATTTTTGATTTATTTTGATGGGCCCTCCTTTCCCTCCCCCACAACTCCCCTCCAACAATACTGTGTGTCAGCCTGGCTGTGTGTCCACTTCATCACCACAAACAGTTCCTTCTCCATCCCCGCACCATCTTATGTGGCGTTCCTCAGGGCTCTGTCCTTGGTTCGCTCCACTTCAATATCTACGTGTTCCCTCTTGGTGACATCATCCGCAGACATGGGGTCAACTTCCACATGTATTCAAACTCTATCCCTCTTCCTCCACCCTCGACTCTAGGACCACTGCTATCCTGACAGAATGTCTGTCAGACATCAAATCCTGGATGAGAGCTAACTTTCTACAGTTGAACACCAGCAACAAACTTACATTTGTATAGCGCCTTTCATGTCGGGATGACGTCCCAAGGTGCTAGATTATTTTCTTTTAATACGATCAAATTTGACCGTTATAGTTTTTTTGGCCTGAGGTGAGGTGGGTATGAGGGTAAAGAGTTAATACACCATATACACATGTTATATTTTGTATATTTTTAATTTAAAAGACATTTTAAAAAATATATTCGGATCTGAGCTGGGGGTTGGCATTGGGACAGGTGGAGGGCAGGGGGTGAAGGAGGGTGATCAAAAGCACAGTTGAAAAGGAGGGTCTTGAGCTGGGTCTGGAAGGAGGCAAGGGAGGAGGTGAGGCGGAAGGACTGCAGGATGGAGTTCCAGGGAGTGGGGGCAGAGTGGCAGAAGGTCAAGGCCATCCTGATTGGCTCACGTTAGTGCCTCCACACCTCAGGCATTGACAGAATCACCATCCAAGGATGCACACACCACCTCATCGCCTGGCTCCTGCACTGTTTCACACCGGAGGCCTCCGAGACTCTCATACACGCATTCATAACATCCAGGCTTGACTATGCAAACTCTCTGCTTGTCGGCTTCCCCAACTCCACCCACCATAGGCTGCAGATCATCCAGAACTCTGTAGTCCATGTCCTCTCTCGCACCAGGCTCTGTGACCCTATCACCCCCATCCTCGCCCGACTCCACTGGCATCCCATCATACAGAGGGTACAGTTCAAGATCCTGGTCCTCACCTTCAAAGCCCTCCATGGTCTTGTTCTCCTACCTCTGCGACCTCTTAAGCCCCTACCAACTTGCCTGCTTCCTCCACTCAGCGGGCTCCGGCCTGCTTCATGCCCCTACCTCGTACACCCCACTATTGGCGAGCAGGGCTTCAGCTACTCTGCCCCCACCCTCTGGAACTCCATCCCGCAGTCCCATCCCCCTCCATTGTCTCCTTCAAGACCTGTCTGAAGATCCTCCTCTTCGACCATGCCTTTGATCGTCCTGCTTCCCCCCTCTTGCCCTCCACCCTCCCTGATCCCGACCCCTAGCTTGGGTCCGAAATACTTGATTGTCCAGCGCCTTGGGAGGTCCTCGCGCCGTGAAAGGCGAAATACAAATGTAATTTTGTTGTTGTTGAGTCAGAAGCACTTTTGCCTCCGAATTAGGAGATAGTGGGTTCAGATCCCACCTAAGGACTTGGAACTAGGCTGACGCTCTAATACAGTGCTGGGGATGTGCTGAACTTTTGGAGGTGCTATCCTTCAGATGAGACATTAAACTGAGGTCCTGTCTGACTGTTAAAAATCCCATGGCGGTCCTGGTGTCCTGGCCAACAGTCTCCCATATAAATTGATCATTCACTTTATGGTTGTTTGTGATTCAGGAAATGGCATATATAATTTCAAATGGAGTAACTACCTCTTGAATTATGATGCATGTTTATTACACGACTCATAGCAGTCCATGTGTAGCAAACATAAAATGATCACAACTGCTGTAAGATGTCATGGGGTCAATTGCATGTTATCAAATGTCATGGGTCATAACGAATCAGATATCCAATTTTAAACAGATGGCAAAAATGATAACTCCTGTTAACAATTGGTGATAGAACCCAATCTCATCCATTGCTGAACATCTTGATTTGTTTTTCGTCTCCATTAGGTGTGGATGGAAGCTGGAACCCAGATCTTCTTTTCTTATGCTCTCTGTATTGGATGCCTCACAGCCCTGGGAAGCTACAACAATTTCAATAACAATACTTACAGGTAGTGTGCTGCTTAAATATCTGTCTTGCAGCTTCAACTGCATATGCTCTGGAGGAGTTTTCTGGAGGAGTTTTTTTCACCTTGTACAAACGTTCCTTTCGATTCCCAGGCAGTTATTATGTTCTCAACACCCAATGTGTAGAAAACTCTTATTTTCAGCTTTTTTTAAAAACAAATATATATTTGGTATATATAAAAAAAATTCAATTCAAATTTAATATTAAAACACACCCGTCACAGAACAAATTCGCAACAAAACACACATTTCAAAACTGTGACAAATTGCAAATGGCTCCGTCCTTTTGTTCCTCAAGCAAGTCTATAAACAACACATTCCATTTGCTTCATGGAAGGAAAACTCACCTGTAACAGAAAAAAAATACATCCACTTCAAATTCAATACTTTCAAAGAAGTGCCTGTTATCTTGTGTCGGCCACCACTGTCTCCCACTCTCCTTGAGCGGAGGGACCAGGGCCTCCTCGCTTCTCTATTCTGCTTCTCTATTCTCTATTATTTACATGGAGCAGTTACGCTTTTGGGCTATTCCCAACTCTGCCTTCCTTCCCTTACGGATGGCAGGCCAAAATTCCCACTCCGCTACTCCCCACTTTGTGGGGGGAGACTTTTTCCAACCCTCCCACACACGTCACATCTTGGGACACACTCTGGTAACAGGTCGAGTGCCCTCTACAAAACCTTCCCTGTGCATAGCTACCCTGCCGTGCGGAGAGGTGGCATCTTGGAGCTGTTCTGGTCAGGGTCAGGCCCCATCTGTCCTTAGCCTCTGTGGACTCAGCTTCAGCATATCCCTCATTCAATTTTCACGTCCCCTTTCCCTTCCTAACCTCGAGACCTCGCAAAACGCACAGGAAATCTATGTGCTAAAAAAACGACCCGTTTGGCCTGGAAAAGGTAAATTGCTTTGGTGCACCATCCACAAGGGCCTTGAAAATGTCACGCTGATGGTGCACCACATCACCACTCTTTGGAGCAGCTTGGATGTGACATCCATTTTCCCATCTTATCTGATAGATCTCCCATCTCTCTCCAATATACAAATGAAATCCCCTCCTAGAATGACTGGTCTGGATGTGATTCTGGTCTCCTGCTCGAATCAATTCCCAACACCTTTGGAGGAGCTGGCAGGACTCTCGACCTAAAGTTCACAGTTTCCTTCTGTTTCTGTGGTCCCCGGATCACCAATTTTTAGTCCCAAGAATGATGTTGGGGGAGCTGGCAGAAAACCCCCACTTTTTCTTGTGGTCTGGGGTTTTCCGACTTCTTCATCTCCAAGTCTCCAGTCCCCTTCTGTCCCCAGTCTGATATCAGACCTCGTTTTCTCTATTTGTTTTCCATTCCTCAAACTCTTTTATCTCTTTTATTCTCAGTTTCAAGTTACAAATCAAACAATCCAACCAATAAACAAACAGAAAAAAAACTCCAGTTAGTTCTCCTTGCTTCCTGCTTTTTCTACCTCCTGATCCCCTTTCATTGGTCCTAGTTAATTGGTCCTTATCTTCATAAAAGGTATCCAACAGCAGTTTCTTTCATGAGTATTTATTTGGACAAGTGTCCATGGCCGCAAGCTTTGGCAGGTTCAAGGAAATTCAGACTACCTTCATTGGCTATTTTATAAAGTTTTGTGCAAACAAACCATAAGCTGAAATAAACACGATTGATTATTTCAAATTCTCAAATATCAGGCACTTTTTTGATTTAATATTAAATCTATACAATCAAATTTAGTATAGGAATGCCTACCTTTGAGGCTTAGTCAAGTCAGCATTCATTATGCTGTTCAATTTCCAATCTTGGTCCTGGCCAGAGAGCTAGGGCAGCAGTTTGGGCTAATCAGGATTCCTAGTCCGGATCACGATGCACGCACCGCACCCTTTGCTAGAATGTGTGTGTATGGACATTAGATATAGGCAAGATATGAATCAACTGCAATGTCATTCACAAATTGCCTGCCATTGGTGTAATTTTTTATTGTTGCCAACTCATTGCCATAATGAATAATGGCCACTTGGGTGAGGTAGCATTGTTAATTGTTTGCAAATCTTTTATTATTGGTGCAGCTCCAGTCGATGCATTCAGCTAAGCAGAAAAAATTGCAAGAATGATTTCCCTTGAGATGTTTTGATGTTGTACAAGGTTCAATGTTGTTCTGCAACTTGTGCCATGTATTTCCTCCTTTTTCTGTACGCATATGAAGGTGGCCCCACTCCAGAGCAAAGCCCCACTATAAGTCTGAAAGCAACTTTGTTTCAGCTAGCCAACAGTGCAATGTAAACCCTATTGAATTTGAATCAAGTCAATTCCCAGGCGGTTTTTTTCATGAGTATTTATTTTGACAAGTGTCCACAACCAGCAGTTTTGAACATTGTTAACTTTATCCAACAAAATAGCTGTTTGTATACCTGTGGCTGACTTTTAATTTGTCTTCTACCCTCAGAGATTGCTTCTTAATGAGTGCTTTGAACAGTGGTACAAGCTTCCTGTCTGGATTTGCCATCTTTTCTGTGCTGGGCTTCATGGCATATGAAGAGAAAGTACACATCTCTGAAGTAGCAGAGGCAGGTAGGGAGTACTCTTTATTTTCTCATTTCAAACTCTATGCAGTTCACTTCGGCAGGGGTGACAGTGTGGAGATTGGATCACCCCTGTTAAATAATTGACTGGTCATGTCATGTGGCCAAATTGTTTAGTGCTGAATAAATGTATAACTCAGCTTCCTCACAGCTCCAAGACTGCAAAGGTTCATATCGACCAGACCAGTACGGGTAGGAAAGACAAATTTGGGATTTGTTTCTAGCGTTTATTTTCTGATTGAATTGTAAGTTTCTTAACCATCATCATCTTGACCTAAACATTAGTGTTATGAATGAGCTTTTTCTGATGGTAAAGATTAAAAGAAAAAAGTAAATGCAGTATGCTTGTATAGCAGGTCATTTGGCCTCAGAAGGAAAAGGATAGGTACATGTTTTGGGTGTGACTTCAGTTTAATTCAGACCCAAAATAGCAACCCATCTTCTCCTTTAAGATGCGGAATGACCTGCTGTGTATTCATTTCTGTTTGAAGTCCTGAATGATGGTGGTAATATCTAAACATTAGTGAAAATAGAAATTCATTTAAAGGTGCAGTGTTTTCCTGAAAAAGCATTTGGCAAACCAGAGAAGAACTAAAAAAAAAAAAAAAAAAATTATTTTTCATGATGCATTAAATGGAAGTTGGTGTCTTTTAAATTATATCAATACATTTTGTAAGCGTATAAATGTTTGCCCAATGTTTTTCATGAGGATGGTGCCCTTTAAAATTACATGCTATAAACTACTATAGTTACAAAAGTTAGGAGTATAACCCCTATGAAAATGAACATTTACTGTATGTATATCAACTGTACATTTTCCACATAATGTGAAGAATTTAGAGGAGAAACTTAACTTTGGAGATTGTTTAATTTCTTTCCCAAGGGGAATAATACAGCCAAACTAGGTTTGAAATAGCCCTCACTAGATAGAATCAAGTCAACAAACGAACAATTCTCTTCAACCCTGAAAACATCCAACAGTTGGGCAAACCTAAGTAACACGGGTGCTAATAAAGAAAAAATCCTCCCTGCAGACACAGGTAGATTCCAGTCTAGCTGCTCCCTGTGCAAAAATTACAAATCCCCATCTCTCATTTAGTATTTTTCTGGCTCTCTAAAAGTGGAAACCAGAAAAGTTTATCACATATTTTCCCCACATTGAAAAAGGTCTTTCTTTGGACCTCTGCACTGAGAGTTCTTAAGGGGCAGTTGGTGAAAGAATAGGATTATCGTGTGGTTTACAGTACAATCCACAACATACAATTACTTGCATTCAAACAGGATGAATAGAGAACATTAGAACTAATCAAAAGTTATTCAGTTTTGGAACACGACTGTTAAATACATTTAACAATGTTAATCTGTTTTTTTCCATATTTATGAGTGTCAGAAAAATTGTCAAAATTAATGAAATTCCAGTTAATGTCACTAAACCTATTTCTGTTCTCAAGTGACAACAGGGAAGCTATGTTAACCTATGTCTAGTCTATCACAGTGAAACTGATTAGTCCATCTAGAGTGGAACCAACCCTGTGTGATTCGTGGGGCTCTACATGGTCTGAAGGTGTAGGGTAAGTTCCTCTCTGGAGAGTTAGATTCTGGCTGAATGTCAGCTTGAGCAGTGCCTAAACAAGCAAAGGAACAGAACACAGTAAATTCCAAAGTAGGTTTATTGGAGCAACTTGTTTAATCAATCAAATTTCCTCCAACTGAGCAATTGGTCCTTCTCCAATCTTATGGTTTTGTGATTGAGACCATTATGCTAGCTTGCCTATTTTCATTCTTTGTGCTAGAAACTCCCAAATGCCAATATCACTTATCGGCATTTGAGAAATTCTAACACAAAGGATGAAAATGGGCAAGCAAGCAGAATACACATATATATATATAGAAGGCCCTGAAATCACTAAGATACAAAGGTTGTACAGGTTGCCGTGGGATAGACTTTGGCTGGGTCTGGTTTATTTCCTGCCAGACTCGCAACATGGCCAAGCAAACGTGGCCTTTGATAGGCAGGTCCTACAGTAAGTTTTCTGAGTCTTACATTCGTTTGGGCAATGTTTTTTTTTATCACCCCGAGAACACTGATTTTATGCAGTAAAACAATGAAATTACTATTATTCTGTTGGTGAGCATTGGTGGAAATACTGTGACTGAATTTGTGAAGATGTAGGCTCCAAAGTCATCTAAACATCAAGAGGTTTCAGTGTGAGCTCTGTTTGCATAGTGACTTTTGAAAAATGGTGAATAATATAATGCACCTCCTGTGAATGGCATTTGAAATCCACTTCTTCAGTGAGTGAAAATGAAGGGACCCCCAGCTTGTAGACATTAAAGTATGTAGGATTGGAAGTAGCTCATTAAGCATTTACTTTTATTGAGGATCTCTTTAAGAACCCATTCCTGGTGCTGAATTGGTAAAAGCAAGTTTGTAAACACCCCTGCCCCCCCCCCCGAATTGAGACTATATAGTCAGATAGCTGCGAGTGACATATATTTTGTAACACGTCAAAGAACCTTTGTTTCCAGTTAAGTGCCTGGAAATTTGCATTTAGAGCTACATTTATTGGCTACATTTTCTTGAACTTGGAAAGAGTCACAAAGAGTTCAACCTTGACTGGGGCAAACAAATTCAAACTTAAATCCCTGGTATGATTATATCCAAAACATGATATTCAGAAACAAATCTGATCTGGGAATGATTGAATTTTCCTTCCCACCAGTGGATTCTCATTGGGTTTTTCATAGTCTGTTTGACCTGAGAAAACTGCACTATTTGGCAAAATACATTCACTGCCTTTTTTAAAATGAACTGAACTGAGTATGACTCAGATGCCATGTCTCACTGTGAGTTAAGCTAAATATTGCTAAAATCTATTTAGTTCTCTGTAAAATGTGCAATGATGAAGAATTGTGCAAAACAATTTGTGAAGATGCTGTGTTTTTTTTAAATGTTTACGCAAAAATGATATTAATTAGAATATACATCCTTCAGTAGCTTTCTCCTGGGGCCTGCGAATATAACTTGTAAGTTATTTTGAGACATTTTATTTTAAGAGAAAGGCACTATATAATTACAAGTTATTATTATTATATCACAACAGCTGATCCACATTACAATAAGACCATGTTTCCAGTGGAATCAAGCTATTTTTTCCCCTTTTTTTTGCTGGGGTGCCTTGCAGTTTCTGTAGATTCCTAGAATTTGAGCGTGTGGCAAATTATCAAGGCCATTCATTTGCTAAAAATATTTTCACACAGTTGTACCAATTCCAATTTCCATATAACATTCAAATAACAATTAAGAACAAAACCAAAACACTTAGAATTGCTTGACCATAATAACCATGGTTTGAAACCTCAATATTTTAAAATTCAGCACTTTATTGTACAGTGCTTTTAAAGGCACAGGAACAAGTGAAAGGAGGAACAATAAGTTTTTTAACTTTTTTAACTTGTTCTCTGGATAACAATTTCCTTCTCTGGAAAGCTCCAAGCTTGTTTTTAATGAATTGTGCTGGAGAAAATGCTTCACTATAAGGGTTGTTTAACCTTCAACCGAAGAGTAATGAGCCGAATCCAGTGTAAAATAAAATAGTCCCCTATAAACAGAAATGCAAGGGTCATTTAGGTTCTTTAAACCTGAAAGAATTTGCTGTTTGGGAAACTGAGTAAACAAGTGAACAAGTAAAATAGGAGAAAAGATCCTCTGCAGTGAAACCAATTGCTTCCAGGCTAGCTGAAACCCAAGCACGAACTCATACATTCTGAGCTCTTTTTTCAGTGTGAAGGTGAAACGTGCTGGTTCTCTTAAAGAAAACATCTTTGCACTATAAATTACTACTGATATCTAACTTTTAAACAAAACAGTTTAAAAAAAAAAATTCCTTTTTGGCAAATACTTAATACTTCTCACGAATGAAAGGAAAGAACATGCTTAAACATTCTCTGTTATCAATGACTAAATCCATCTTAATTATTGCTAATTATTGTTTAACTGGAACTGTAAATTCAAGTTTCAACTTTCTGTGAGTTCTATAAATGCACTGAAATAAATGCACAACATACATAAAGCAAACTAATAAAATTGTACCAGTGTGTTGTGTGGTTTGTGCTTACTGTTGCCCTTATCAAGTGAGATACTGATATTTGGGTCGACCATTATTAAGATTGCACAAACAAACCCCATCTAATGTAAGAAGCAGAGATTAGTGCAACAAAGCAAAGGTTCTATAGCAAAAGCAAATTTTACTTGCTGATATATTGTACAACAGTATTAAGAAAGACAAGCAATTTTTAGGTCTGTTGGGTAGGTCATTTTTATTGCCGGAAAACATTAGTTGGCTGTATTATTTTTTCCATCTGATCTTTTTCCTTTACCCCTAATCTTTTTATAGCTCTATGCTGTGAGAAGGCATCATCTTTCACTAGATAGCTAAAGTGGCTGTTCTAAATGTTTGATCTTGGGAGTATGAGTTTTATAAGCTTCTACATCACTTGGGCTGTCGCAGCCAACCCCGATTCAGTTTTCACCCCTACACACTTTCAGCAGTTGTGACTGTACAGTGATCAGATGTGTCAGGACAGCCAGCCAAGTGGACACAATTTTAGGGTTACAAGTTTATAATGACAGCAGAATGTTTTTCGGTGATTGCACACACCGTGTATAATCAGCAACTGGAAAGGGTGATCCCGGTGGTTGAGGCTAGGATACCCATCTTGCATAAGAAATCGCTGAATTCTACGATTTGAAGACGATAGAATGAGTATTCTTGGCCAATGGCATTTCGTCATATGAACCTCTTTTAGGAATTCTGGCCAATACTTTCCTCTCCCTGGCAGCATTTCTTTTAGCACACCAGTAAGTTTATCTGAGAGTAGAAATTAGGGATTGGACGTGTGTTTTCCTGCTTTAAGTAAATGAACCATTGATGGATGTCTTTGTTTTCTTGTTTCTCAATGGACTCCTGTGCTGAAAGTTTCTGTTCTTTTGGATCTATGATAGCTTGTTCACTTGCAGGATTGAAAATGCATATCAAAGACAGAGGCATGCACAAGCAGAATGTGTTTAGCTGCTTTCTCTTGCATCATCTTAAATTGAAGTTTGTCCAGAAGATTATCTTGTCCCATTTTACTTAACATTTTACTTTTTGTCTTACTTTTTGTCTCTCTGGCAACTCGGTGAGCCATTTCTGACATTATTATTGTCAGTAGGATGATGTTTAGCTGTGCTTTTAGGTTGGTTTGATGATTTCATTTTTAATAATTCAGCTGCTATTTTAAGTATTTAGATAAGAACATTGTTTCCAAACTGATCCTGTGCATCTGGCTGTTCCCAAGCATATTAACAAATCTTATCAATGAGGCGGGGTTTCCTTGGCACCTCTTGATCTTGTAAAACTGCTTCCATTTTAACCACTATACCTGGCATGTTCCGAAATACTCAGGGCCAATAATATCTACTTGCTACTGTGATTCATCCATTTGTAAATTTGCACTCAATATCTTCTGGCATGCACAGATGAATCTTCACTCTCAGATAAACACCATACAAGACTATTTGGCCCATTGAGTTTTCTGCATTGAAAAGATCATCTACAAATTACAGTTTAATAAACTATTCCCAATGTATTCTAATGAATGAGGTGACTGACTTAAGGCAGAAACAGTAAGACAAACTATCTAAACTTCACCTTGACTATAAACTGCAAGACATCAATATTATCCTGATAGTTAAAGTGCACAGATAGTATTTCAATGGAGCTAATTACACACTTAGCTTGGGACTCTTGAATCTGTTCCATAAATCTACTATAAATCTACTGTGTTTTTTGGGGGAGGGGGAATCTTCAAATCATTTTACTTGAATAAAAAGGTGGCCTTTTCTGTGCACACAACGCATGTTAAATATTTTGGTCTCTTTATTAAAAATATTTTAACATGAAACAGACACTTATTGTTTTTATACCTTTATATTATAAATATGATGACATTGGAGTTATAATACATTGCCATACATTGAATACCCAACTATACAAGGACTAAGTTGATGCCATCAAACCAAATTTATGTAATTTTCTTCAATGTCACTACTTAAAATTTATTTTTATTTGTAAGTGGAACATTTTCCATTTGCAAGGTCTCCGTTTATGTGGAATCCTATAGCTCAGTGGTTAGCGAGAGACCTGGGTTCAATCTCCGGCAGGGCAAAACTTTGGGTAAGTTTCCTTACTCCACAAACCTGATAATAATCCCTCAAGAAAAAAAAGATAATAAATTGATCATTTCAATCTACAATTGTTTTTGGGACACTGCTGTGTGCATTTGGCTGCTGCATTTTGCCCACAAATATAGTCAATTCACTTTACAGTATATTCTGTGAAGCGCTTTGAGATGTCTAGAAGACATGAAAAGCGTTATATCAAAAGAGGAGGATTATTATTATTTTAGATTTTCTGTCTGAATGTTGTCTCATGCCAACTTGGCATCAGAACTTTGTTTTCAGTTTTGGCTGGAGTTGGAAGTGCACAACAAAATCTGCCGGAGAGTGATTTTCAATGACCACCGTTGAGGCTTTCCTACTTATTGTAGGTTGCCATCACTTTTATTTCACTTCTTGGATCTTCTGTTGAGATACAAATTTGTACTTTTATTCCTACACTTCAAACAAGTTTTAAAGCAATTTTCATAAAGATTTAAAGAAGCATATTGAATCATTCTTGAGGTGGAAAATGATCAGTCAAACGTTTTGCCATCAGGAGCAAAACTTTGATTAGAAATATCTGGGTAAACATGAAGGAATAGGACAAGGTCAATTTTTTTTCTGGAAGCAAGATGTTCAACAGATTGTATTCTCAGAATGGGAAGGGATGAGGATAATGCCGATTGGATTTGGGATTGGGGTTGTTGGATATTGAATCCAAAGCTGAAGCTTGAAACCCAATACGCAAGTTCAAAATGATGCTACGTTAAGCCCACATTTCTTATGGTATTAATAAGGTTATACAGCAGTTTGACCTTCCCAAAGAAGTGTGGCGAAAGGCTGGCAGCATTTTTGACTTGCATACAGTGGATTGGATGGAGGCATCACTCCCATGAGGCCACCTCCCCACTAGACTACGAGGGATCAGATGGATGCGATGCTACCACAGTGTCACCATCTGGCTGCGTGTCACCATCTGGCTGTCAAGGAACTCAATAACTTTTTTTAATAAAAGAAAATGGACAAAATTCTACTACAACTGCCAGGATACGGATTTTACTCCCTTCAGGCCACGAGATATTGGATGTCCCACTACCCTACCAACTGTCAGGTAACTTATTTTTTAAACCAATAAGAAATACTCAAGGGTACCACGCTGATTGCGTTCACAATTTTCCCACACAGTTGGTTACTGATCTCAGCCATTCAGCCGTGGGGAAGTGCTGAGAGGAGGCCAGGCACTTCCCCACAAGGAGAGAAAAACACAGGGAGGGTCACTCTAAGCTGCTGCATCTTTCAGCAGCACTTGCAGTACAATATCTAAATTGGTGGGTGCTTGCACTAAGGGGCACTGTGTCCTCTCTTATAGGACAACACCATTTAACTTGAAACAACAGGCCAACCCGACCAGTGTTGGTCAGTTCCGGTTTGGCATGTATCCTTACCAACTGTGACAGGTTGGTGAAAGGAAGATGGTTATTCCCCCCTCCTGATAACCAATGATCCATTTCAGGTATATGTGATTCTGTTCAGCATTTTTGAACTCTTGTGACTTTGCATTCCTTCCCTCTTCCAGGACCTGGTCTGGCGTTCATCATATATCCCAGAGCAGTGAACATGATGCCTTACCCCCAGCTCTGGGCCTGTTTATTCTTCTTAATGATCATCCTTATGGGTCTGGACAGTCAGGTACGATGCAGCACAATTGTGAAAGTTCCTCTTGGTGAGAAATTCCCCTTGCTGATAAGTGCAGTGACTTTAATGATGTGTTTCTAATGCAAACTTTCTTCCGCATCAATAAGTTAATTTGTGCACATAACATCAACAGGAATTTCATTAAAACATCTGAAACTTTAATTAATTAATGTTTAAAACAGTTAGATCATCTATTTGAACATACATGGGAAAGTTATTACATCTCCTCATTCAAAAAATCTTTTTCCATTTTAAAAAAATTAGTTATTTGCTACTTTTCTCAGAATTTACCCTTCTGGCATGTACATCTCTGCTTCTGGTCTCTTATTGGGATGCGATTTCACTGCTCTAGTTGCCCTCCTGTACCCTGCTCAAGTGGCCATTGGTCACATGGGATGCTCGGTAGTCAGTAATCAGTAGCCTGTGTGCACGTGGAGAGCCACACAGCCGCACCTTATCTCTCTGACCCAGCTGCCGTACTTACGCACAATCAACAGCTTGTTTAAATTTTTTGAAAAAAATTTACTGTTAATTGAACTGGCAAAAAATCATCAATCAGTTATATTTCTATTAAATAATAATAATAATCCTTGCAGTTGATATAGCGCTTTTCACATCTTCTAGAATTCCCAAAGCGCTTCACAGAATAGACTGTAAAGTGAATTGACTGTATATTTATGGGCGAAATGCGGCAGCCAATTCCGCATAGCAGTGTCCCACAAACAGTCGTGGATTGAAATGACCAATTTATTATTTTTTTTGAGGGATTATTATCAGGCGTGTGAAGTAAGGAAACTTGCCCAAGGTTTCACCCTGCTGGGAATCGAACCTAGGTCTTTCGCTTGCAAAGCATCCCTCAGGAGATGGTTGCATCGCTTGCAAAGCATCCCTCAAGAGATGGTTGCATTCTCCTGGTTGTAGCATCAACCAGGAGAAATGATGACACCTATATGTCAGTCTTTTGCCAATATAACGCTTGGCTATCCTGGCAGGAATCCTGGCTGGTTTCTACCACCTGCGATGGGCAGGGGCCAAGTAAACTTTTTAAAAACTTTCTGTCAGAATTCCTGAACTTTTACCCTCTTTATTTCATATTTAAATTTATGTCATTGCTGGTTCAATGTTGTATCTGCTCATTTTCTGTCCAATTAAATCTGCCCTTAATAAATGGCATTCTTACATAATAAAATCTGTGCTTTCTAACATTGAACTCATTTAACAATTTTTTTTTTAAAATCAGTTTGTATCTATGGAGAGTCTGGCAACATCAATCACCGACATGTTTCCTAAGACTTTAAGAAAGAAGTATTGCCGGGAGCTCCTTATTCTGGCCATTGCAATCTTGTGTTTCTTTGCTGGTCTGATCATGACGACTGAGGTAAGAGACCATTGATATGTTTGAGAGGAAATATAATTGTATAAATCTCATAGACAAACTAATCAGCTGGCAGAATTCAAACCATATTAGGACTCCAGCCTTCTACATTGTATCTCAAACTCTACATTATCTGCATAAAGGTAGATAATTTGCTGAGTTTATTTACGTACTGAGGGTTGGGATTGCTTAGTTGTTGGTCAGTGCTTCCCCGTGGAATCGGGTAATATAGGTTTCGTTGAATCTTGCTGCTTTAATATAACTTAACAATACAATAATTGTATGTGTTAAAGCATGAACCTTTGAATTCAAAGATCTGTAATTCACACCATCTGTATTGGGTTAGGGCTTCTGGCGAAACTTACAATAATGAATCTAGATTCATCAACCTTATTTTGCTGACACAGATCCCAAAAATTAAATGTACTGATTATGGCAGAGCAAATGTAGTTTTTGACTTTCCTTTTCTCTTTTCTTAGGGTGGATTGTACATCTTTCAGCTGTTTGACTACTATGCAGTCAGTGGAACATGTATGTTGTTCCTGGCAACTTTTGAAGCTTTGGTCATTGCTTGGATTTATGGTATGTAACATAATCTTAGAATTCATAGAAGTATTATTCATATCATGATTACAGAATGTTCCAGCAAATAGAAATTTGTCATTTAGTCCAACAAGTCTGCACTTGTTGCACATTCCTGAGTCACAGTCAGTTACCTATCAAAACCACTTAGATTCCATTGTACGACACGTATTAATCCTTTACCCTCAGTTACGCCCCCATTTACCGTCTGCTTTGAATCACGGAAATTATATCTGATCCATCGACCCATGATCACTCACCGACCGGCTGCATTTTGCATTTGAATTAATTTAATGGCATACATAGGATTATGCACCTCAACTTTACATCTGTGGTACCAATATGCCAAAAAACAGCCAATAGGGATAAATTGCTCATTTCGTAGCAAAAAAATCAATAATTTTTCAACTTTTTCCTGTCCAGGTGCTGATCGATTCTATGACAATATTGAAGACATGATCGGGTACAGGCCCCCAGCCTTCATGAAGTGGTGTTGGAGTTATTTCACTCCAGGCGTTTGCATTGTAAGCATTCCTTGCTTTTTTGTGTATTATTCATGTTAATTTAATCAATTCAGGTAAATGACCACAACACAAAAAGATGTCCATTTCCAGCAATTTCTATGCAAAACTTGGGAAAACCTTGTTACACTTGTACAAGAGACATACTTATTTATACGACAGGAATAACAGTGGACACTCATCAGTATGCAGATGGGAATATCTAGACCAGACTCAGAAATCCATGTCTGTAGGCTACCGACCCAAGGAAATGTACTTGTGTTTGGAATGCAATGCGCACTCTCTACCGGAAGGGATCCACTCTGCTTATCTCATTCCAGCTCTTTACCCATTAGAGCTTAGCTTTCAGGGTTAACGGGAGCTGAGTGGGAAGAATCCCTGCCCCCAGTGATTGTTATGCTCTTCTAAATTCTGTGAACAAGCCAGGCTGGCTGGTCTGTTATCAGCCCTGCCTTGGAGTACTGCAGACTTACCTGGCTCTGGAACTGAAGACCACTACAAAGGATTGACTCGATTCTGACATTCCATTGCCAAACATGCCACCTTGTAGCTAGCTCAGTTCCAAAGGAACCCTGCGTACATCTCACTCTCCCCATCCCCCAGAGAATAGTGGTAGCAGATTTAATAAGGTTTGAGGTAAGGGGAGTGAGAAGAAGAGTGGGATAAAATTAGATGAGTCATATCAAGAAAAACACCATTATTGGCTTCATTGGCCCTTTAATTTCAGTCAGCGACATGCTGATATCCATCACCAAAGCTTGAAAGTACCCAAATCAGGCTTTGTTCCATATACTCAGAATCATCACATGGAAATTTTCCTGTGCTTGGAAGAGAATAAGCCCATACTCCTTGCAGGAACACTCCCTGTTTCCCTCACTCCAGGAATAATTCCATTGCTAAATATGTCACTTTGAAACCAGCTCATCCCCAAGAGAACCTTGCTACCGTACCCCAAGGAGGAGAGTCACGAGTTGGTCATTTGACATCCCAAATGTATGCCGTGCATGGGAGCAGTTTTACTTTCCTCTTTTCAACAGCTTGAGCACATATCCCTGTGGACTGAGCATTGATTCCACCAGTTGGAAGTGCAAAGCCTGATGGACTAAATGGCCGGTTCCTGTGTTGAATCAATGTGGCAAATCGAGTGCAATGTTGTAAGAAATACTGGGGCTGAACACAAACTTCCATGTTATACCATGGTGTCAGCCTGGCTGGTAGCACTCTCTCCTCTGAGTTTGAGGAGTCTGGAATATAGAGATGATGTAGCGATTCTCACTTTATTTGCTGCCTGTGGCCACAATGGCAGAGGAGCTGGTTGGAAAGATCAAAGCCTAATTTCTGGCCTTGCCAATATATTTTGGCAATATATATACAAGTGATTTTCTCTCTAAGTAATGGATATGTGAAGTTTTTCTTTTGAACATCCCAAAAGATTTTTTTTTGGCCACAAAATACAAAGTCAATCCACTTCACAATATACCATGTGAAGTGATTTGGGACGTTTTGATTATGTGATAAGGCACTCTTTCAAATGCAAGGATTTTTATTATTTTTAAGGGTTTAATTCATTTTCTATCCGTGTTTTCCCAATTGATGAATTTGTTCTTTTTTTCAGGCTACTTTTATTTTTTCATTGGTTAAATACACACCTGTGAAATACAATAATACGTATGTATATCCGATGGGGGCGCATGTGTTTGGCTGGTTCTTGGCACTTTCCTCCATGCTGTGCGTTCCACTCTGGGTTGTGTACAAGATCAGCACAACTAAAGGCTCTTTAAAACAAGTAAGTAATTGATAGAAGAAAAAATCTTAACCCTTTGTGTCTTGTCAGTGTGCCATGAGCAAATGCTAATTCCATCTAAAAATCTTTGACTGAATTCCATTGAACTTGTTATTTCTAAATGCATACTTGAAATACTGAACTCTACAGAAAAACAAGGTGCTTTCATGTTTTTGTTGGGCTTTCAACTGTCCCGGAGTTCCTACCGTACTTTTCAAGGTCTGTCACAAGATCTTCTTTGACCGGGCCTCTTTCCCCTCCCCACCCACCTTCGGCTCTGGTGCCAATCCATGACTGTCAGGGTTCCCTGGGACGTTCTCCTGACAAGAAAGGTGCTATATCAATGTAAAATTGTATTGTACTTCAGAAAACAAAGCCATGTATGTAGCTTCTGACATGTTAATAATTTGGACCATGAATCCTGCTCTGCCGTTATATTTCAGTGTGGCAGCATGTTTATTTTTCTCATTCCATCTCCCTTCCCCTTTTGGCATATCCCTTCATACCCTTACTTCTCAATATCTGTTCCCCCATTTTTAAGCAGGAAACTAAATTCAGAATCTAGAGCATTCCACATTCTCGCTGGTTTTATTTTTAACAAAATATGGAAAAGTCTAATTTTCTGGAGAATTGAATAGGTAGTAAGTTTATCTATGTCAATGGCGAAGGCACAGTTGACAAAACATGGGCAATTTAGTTATAAATCTCTGCTGTTGAGAAAGTCTCCTCTCTGATCGGTGCGCTCCAAAGCATGTCAGGAAATCTTGAGAGAAAACTGCTTTAAATAATATTCAAAATTGTGTTGCCTTTTTTCCTGTTTTGTATTCAGCACAAAGATTCTCATTACATCATGTGACACCTTCAAGTCACTGTAGAGGAAACAGTAACAGTGTAGGAAGAATTACATATGAGAAGACAAGCATGAGAGCTTCTGTCTTGTTGATATTCAGCTGGAGAAAGTTAAGCTCTCCCAGGACTGAAGCGATCAGTTGACCCCATGTCTAAGGATGATATTGCCAAGAGGGAGTATGTAAATGAGAAAAAGAAGGGGGTGGGCCAAGAATGCAGTGTTTCAATACACCACAGGCGGCTCTGCAGAGTGTGGAGAAACCATTAGAAAAGACAAAATGCTAGTGGTGGATCAAGTCGGACTTGAACCACAAGAGGGCAGTCCCACTTAGGTGAATGAGGGAAGAGAGGTGATTGAAGAGGATGACATGATCCACTGTTTCAGAAGCAGCAGAGAGGTCCAGGATGACAAAGAGGCAGAGCGAGCCCTGATTTTACATCACGGTGAAACCAGATAGATTACCAGATAGATAAATACCTTCTTTGTTGTGATGAGAGTTTTTGAATGATAAGCAACTCTGTGGAGTACCAGCTCCTTTGTTTCTGGCACATGCAATCTTTAGTCATGTGTTGATGTGCCTTCTATAAGTTTTATTAACATGCCTTAATGACGTGGTACAACCAGGGGCCATCAATATAAAATAGTCATAAATAGATCAGATAGGGAACTTAGAAGAAATTCCTTCACACAGAGGGTAGTGGGAATGTGGAACATGCTACCACAGTTGTTGAGGCAAATAGCATAGATGTATTTAAGGGGAAGCTAGACAGGTACATGAGGGAGAAAGGAATAGAAGGTTATGCTTGACAGCTTAGTTGAGGAAGGACAGGAGGAAGTTCATGTGGAGCATAAACATCGGCATAGACCAGTTGGGCCGAATGGCCTGTTTCTGCGCTATATTTATTAAACAATCATGTACCTTTCTTCCACAGCGAATACGCCACCTCATCCTCCCTGCTGATGACCTGGTCCAGTTTAAGAACTCCAAGAAAGATCCACTTATGTACTGTGCGCCACAGCTAGATTTCAACATTCCTTCAGCAGACAATAAGGACAGACAATGGTGTGCAACAGAAAAGGAAAGTTTTATGTAAGAATTGGAGAAAAGAGAAAACTGTTTCATTCTGAAACACAGGAAGTGGTGTCCATGACCTGGTGAACTTGGCTTACAGAAGCTTATGTACTGCAGTGTTGCAGTCTGTCCAGAATGTGTGCTCAGTAATACAATGCACCAAATGTTTGCATTCAGTTTCATCAAAAACTTGTAAAATCTTAAGCTTGTATTGGCATCTCCTGCTTTCAGTGATTATGTCCTTGGCCGTTGCTTCTGAACTGATAGCTCAGCCAAATTCTTCTCTGTAATTGAGGTATTCTGGCTGGAGGTGCAAAATTACTTTGCGTACTTCTAATGGTCCTTCTGAAAACCAAATTGTGACCGTGCAGACGTGTCATGATGGCAAAAGGACAGTAAAGGAAGTGGAGCTTTTATGAAGGAGATAAAATATTTTCTGATGAAATAGAGAGGAACGCATTCGGCCAGTGTCGACAGCTTGTCATGTGTAATTTTTTAGAGTGACTCAGTGGCTGAAAGAAAGTTTTAATTGTTTCATCTAAATTTTGACTTACTGTTTGAATTTTGGATGTTGGCCTTCGTTGCCAATGAGATAAAACCACATATAATCAGGCTTATAGATTCCTTTTCAGACTCCATTACTAATTTTCTTGGGGAACATCACTGTCTCCATTATCAATTAGACTTTAAATAACATCAGCACAACAAGCAGAATTGAGGCAAATGGCAGCCCATTAAACAAGAGGGTACATGCTTGAAGGTGTAACCTAACATCCTTGTATTTCATCTTCTGCTCTCATCTGCACAGCTTCTAACTTGAGCATTTTTTAAAATTGCATCACTTCACATTCACATAACATCGCTGTACTCCAAGGATGTAGAGTGCAACTGAGGACCCCTTATTGGATTCCACTACAGTGATACGTATCCTCTCAGTTTAGTTGAAAGTTTAGTTTAAACTGGTGATCATTCATTTGAAGTGAGACTGCTTCTTTAAATCACTCAATTGTTTTGATAAATAGCGTTGAAGGACAACTGAAGGAGTCATTGCTGGAGGAAAAGATTAAAAAGTAATCTATTTAGAAATTCACTAATGTGAACACTCTGATAATTAAACAAGGCCATGGGGTGTTTGACCCCTCCTGAATGTGGACCCAGAGTTGGACATGAGATTCAAAAATATTCAATCCAGGAGCATGGGAACAAACCACGGCATTTTCTGCCACCGGCTGTGTGCAAAGAGAAGAGCTTTGAAACAATTCCGGAAGTACATTTTGAATGCTCAGACCATAATACAGCCTTTGTATACTTTTTACTTTGGTTTACTTTGTATAAATTGGGGCAGATTGTCCACTGATTAGAAACGTTTCTGAAACTGGTAGAATATGAAAACTGCAGCCGAGAACATGGCTAAGGGAATACATTGTCAATGCAAATCAAATTCCAATTCTTTACAACTTTAATTAAGACTATTTGTACACAATGTAGTGATAAGACACAAATTGAGCTCATTAAGAGATTATTATTTGGATGATGTTTCAAATTTGGAAATTTCCATTGTTCGTGTTGACCAAATGCATCGTTTATATCCTGGCTTTTGTATCGAAGGTGCATCTTAGCAGAATCTCTGAGATGGACGTATAGTCCTATTGGAGGTTTTTGGAGTTGTATGATTGGATTGCCATTGACGTTGATAGCAGTGTCAGATAGGTGACATGTTGGAGGAAGGGCAGATGCCACATTTGAACTAGAGGATGTGCAGATATCTTTGACTTACAAGACTTGATAATGTGAGAGAGGATCGACAGGTTGCACGGTGAGAGCATCCTTCTACGACAAGTCAAAGAAGCAGTGCTTGAGGAGGATGCTAATTTTTAATGATGCCTTTACAGATCCATTTGGCAGGAGATCTCGCAACTGCATTACTGTGTCTAAAGGTCACAAAGCATCAGTAAAAATTGCCACGATTTTTAAATATTGCTTTTGCTCTTAACTTTCTAAGGCACTGCAGGGAATAGAAGTGGCAACAACTAGAATTCAGGTATCCCTTTTAGACCAATAACTGAAGTCTCTGGATAGTGAAGTCAAAAGATTGAACCACTTTCTCTTTTGTAAGATCTGTGAGGTGAGGGAGTGGCAACAAGCAATTTAAATTGGAGGAATTCCCAACTGTCCCCATGTAATTGCCTACAGATACTGCAAAAAGGTTTGCTTTCCCTAAATGTTCAGTGACTGAAAAGTGAGCATCAACAAAGAGTCATTCAATTAAATGCTAAATTTTCTAAGGGCGTACACTCATTAAATTCAATAAGAGCTACTACTTGTATTTATATAGCGCACCTCATGCAGTGTGGTGTCTCGACGTGCTTTAATTTCTTAAACACATTAAGAGTTTTAAGAGTCAGAGGTGGATTCTGGGGACCCGGATATTCTTCTTCGTCATTATTTTAAACATGCTAGGTACGCTTTGGCATATTGAAACAGCCATTTAGATATTTGGACAGATTGGATAGGCTCTGAAGTACACTCCCGTAAAGTGGACAAAACATCATTGCATGCTGCAGTGTTGTATCATTGATTGAGGGTTACCTGTGAAATCAGAACATGGAGAATATAAGGAATTGATGGACCAGGTGTGGCAACATTGAATCTTCAAGATTTCCCTGAAGAAGCAGAGACTGTGGGAACACAGAATTAGGAAATTATTTCCTTGAGAGAGATCCATTCCATTTCATCTTTAGGAACTCCTCTGAATAACTGTGACAGTAATTTATCATTATCATGTATTTACACAGGCTGGTCTTCTCTATCTGGACCTGCTTTCGGTTTCCAATTGTTTCTTTTCAATAAAGAGAACCTAACAGGTTGAACAAACATTTGCAGTGTGTAGCATTTATTTCAATGATTTGTTGTCCGTGGACACAAGTGTATTTGGCATGAACATATAATAATAATACTCGCATTTGATAGTGCTTTTCACGTCTTCTAGACGTCTCAAAGTGTGAATTGACTGTATATTTGTGGGTGAAACGCGGCAGCCAATTGCTCACGGCAGTGTCCCACAAACAGTCATGGATTGAAAATGACCAAGTTATTATTGTTTTGTTTTGGAGGGATTATTATAAATATACTCAAGGATTCTAATAATTTAGAATTCGTAACAAAATTGAGACACATGGTAGAAATCTTTAGATATAGGAGTGTTGGAAGACAAATATATAAGGAGAAGCATAGAATTGTTGGTTTTGTTTGTCCATTGAACGATATTAAATTAATTTAAATTGGTTAGGCATCAGTTGGATGAGAGTGTAGTTGGTCGCTCTCATTGGTCGCCTGATTATAGGAAGAACATTAGAGCCATTAAGGGTATGTATGGTGTTGCTTCACATGGTTAATACCAGTGATGAGCATAGTTAGGAGGATGGCTTTGAAAAATTGGGACTGTTTTCACTGGATCATAGAAGATTAAGAGGGAAACTTAGAAAAATAGTAAAAATTCTGAAAGATTTTGAAAAGATGCAAAATGAAAGATTATTCCCATAGGTTGACAAATAGGTTAATTGGGGAAGCAGGTTTGCTGGATGAATTAAGGAATAGGTTGAAAGAAACCATTAAATACAATGAGGAACATAATCTTTGTTTTGGATTTTGTGCATTTCATGTGAGGACATCTTAAAGTGCCTCAGTGAATTTACTGTAAAATGGAGGAACTGTTTTGAGGCAAATAAGGAAGCCAATTTTTGCACAGCGAAATATCCCACAAACAACCATAAAGTGAATTCCCAATTTTATTTTATTATTTATAATTGACAATTTTTATGCAAATTGGGGACAACCCCAGGCTCATCTTCTCCACCACTAACCGGCTCCTCTGCCCACCCTTTCACTTGTCGCTCATTTTCTCTTCCAAAAGCTGCTCAACTAAGTTTTTTGCATTAATCTTTACCAAGGAAGAGATGGCTAACCTATTTGATCTGGAAAGAGAACTCAAGGATGTTGCAGAGAAAAGTTGTGACACTATTTATATCCCTACCAGCATGGTTGCCAAACAGCTGTGTAAACTTAGGGTAAATAAATCTCGGGCCGGATAAATTGTACCCGAGGATCCTTAAGGAACTAAGGGAAGAAGTCGCAGAAACGTTGGCACAAATCTTTCAAAAATCACTGATACTGGAGAGGTGCAGGGAGACTGGAGAAAGGCAGATGTTACTCCTATTTCTAAGGTAACAAAAGTGACCCAGAAACTACAGACTAGTAAGTTTGACGTCCATTTGGGGTGAAACTGGAGACTTATTAAGGATAAAAATCATGGAGCATGTGGACGGAATTAAAATCATAAATGATAGCTAATGTGGGTTCACGTGGGAAGGTCTTGCCAATCTAGTTGTTTTCTTTGACAGTGTGACAAGGGAGCTTGATAAGGGTAGGGCCGTCCATGGATGTTATATATCTGAATTTCAGTAAGGCCTTTGATACAGTTCCTCTTGAGAGGCTGGTACTGGCACCGTTCCCACTCCCTTAAAAACAGTCGTCATGACCCGCATCAAAGAAACTTCAATGGACCTGTCCCTGCTCTCTAATTATCACCCCATCTCCAACCTCCCTTTCCTAGTCGTCGTTTCCCAACTTCGCTCCTTCCTCTCCTGCCACTCCCTCTTCAAACCCCTCCAAACAAGTTTTGGTGCTGCCCACAGCATGAAAACAGCCCTGGTCAAAGTAACAAATGACATTTTGTCCATCTGTGACCAGGGCTCCCTCTGTCTCTTCATCCTCTTAATAACTTAATAATAACTTAAGCTTAATAACCTTCAGTTTGAATTGGGAAACAGCACCAGCATGTAATGAAACAAAAGAGAAAGTTATCATTGTAGTGAATGTACAGAAAGACATTACAAAGAGATAAGAGAATTCAAGAGAAAACTGGAATGGGACATAACTGAAAATGCAAAACATAACTCCCCTCAAAACAACAACAACAACAGCAAGATTCCATTTATAAAGCGCCTTTCACGTCAGGAGGACGTCCCAAGGCGCTGCACAGTTGGGTCATGACCCGAGCAGGGGGGAAATGGTCAGGGTGAGGGGAGGGAAGGGAGGGAGCGAGGAGGGGGGAAATGGTCAGGGGGAGGGGAGGGAAGGGAGGGAGCGAGGAGGGGGAAATGGTCAGGGTGAGGGGAGGGAAGGGAGGGAGCGAGGAGGGGGGAAATGGTCAGGGTGAGGGGAGGGAAGGGAGGGAGCGAGGAGGGGGAAGAGAGTCGAGAGGGGAGCTGAAGGCACGGTCAAAGAGAAAGGTTTTGAGACCGGCCTTGAAGGAGGAAAGGGAGGAAGCAAGGCGAAGGCACTGGGGGATGGAGTTCCAGAGCCTGGGGGCTGAGAGGCTGAAGGCCCGACCACCGATGGTAGGGCGGTTGGGGCGGGGGACGTGGAGCAGACCGGAGCCAGAGGAACGGAGGGTACGGGCAGGTAGGTAGGGGGATAGTAGGTAGGAGGGAGCAAGGCCGTGAATGGCCTTGTAGGTGAGGATGAGGATCTTGAAATCAATCCTCTGGGGGATGGGGAGCCAGTGGAGGCGAGCGAGGGTGGGAGTGATGTGGTCGCGAAGCCTGGTGCGGGACAGTACACGAGCTGCAGAGTTCTGAATGACCTGCAGCTTGTGGAGGGAGGTGGCGGGAAGGCCGGCGAGGAGAGAGTTCCCATAGTCCAGCCTTGAGGTGACAAAGGCGTGAACCAGGGTTTCAGCAGCGTGAGGGGTGAGGTAATGCCGTAGTCTGGCGATGTTCCGGAGGTGATGGAAGGCGGTGCCAGTTGTGGTGCGGATGTGAGGGAGAAAGGACAGCTCAGGGTCGAACAAAACGCCGAGGTTCCTGACTGGCTTTGAGAGGTGGAGAGTGCAGCCTTGGATGCTGATGGTGTCAGCGCCTGAGGTGCGGAGGCGCTGACGTGAGCCAATCAGGAGGGCCTCGGTTTTTCGCACGTTGAGCTGAAGAAAGTTGTCTCTCGTCCAGGACTCGATGTCGGACAGGCAGCTGTCAGGACATCGGTGGTCGTGGAGTTGAGAGTAGAGGAGGAAAGGTAGAGTTGGGTGTCATCCGCATACATGTGGAAGTTAACCCCATGTCTGCGGATGATGTCACCAAGGGGGAGCATATAGAGGGTGAAGAGGAGGGGACCGAGGACAGAGCCCTGAGGGACACCACATGAGACAGTACGGGGGGTGGAGGAGAAGCCATTCGTCGAGACAAAGTGAAGACGGTGAGAAAGGTACGACCTAAACCATTCAAGGACAGTGCCTTGAAGGTTGAGGTGGGAGGACAAGCGGTGGAGTAGGATAGCGTGGTCGACCGTATCGAATGCTGCCGATAGGTCGAGGAGGACGAGGAGACAGAGGGAGCCCTGGTCACAGATGGTCAGGATATCATTGGTGACCTTGACCAGGGCAGTTTCTGTGCTATGGGCAGCACGGAAACCTGACTGAAGGGGTTCGAAAAGAGAATGGGTGGAAAGGAAAGAGCGCAGTTGGGAGGCGACAACTCTTTCCAAGACCTTGGAGAGAAAGGGGAGGTTGGAGATGGGCCGGTAGCTTGATAGCTGCGACGCATCAAGGGAGGGTTTTTTCAGGGTGGGCGTGATGATGGCAGTTTTTAATGGAATGGGGACAGAGCCAGAGGAGAGGGACAGGTTGATGATGTCAGTGATATGTGGGGCAAGAAAGTGGAGCTGGGAGATAAGGAGTGGAGTGGGGATGGGGTCAAGGGAGCAGGTGGTTGGTTTTAGGGATAGGATGAGTTCAGTGACAGAGGGTGGGGAAACGGGTACGAAGGTGTGTAGGGGAGGATGGGTAGGAGTCGGAGTGTGGGAGGGAAGGGGTGGGTGGTGGGTGGAAGTTGGAGGGGAAGTGACCGCGGAGCGGATTCCCTTGATCTTGGATTCAAGGAAATCCAGCATCTCCTCGCAGTGAAGGTTGGAGGAGATGACCTGCGCGGGGTGGCGGGGGGGACGGAGGAGTCGGGTTGTGGTGGAAAACAGTAGCCTGGGGTTGTTCTTCGCCTCCAGGATTATCCTGGAGTAGAAGGACGACTTGGCCGAGGCTAGAGTGGAGCGGTAAATTTTGAGGAGGTCCAGCCAGATTTGTCGGTGGACCGTTAGGCCAGATTTGACAAAGGTGCGTTCAGCAGCCCGCACCTGGCTTTTCAGTGAGCGGAGGTGGGTGGTGTACCAGGGGGAGGAGCGGGAGTAGGAGACAGTGCGGGAAGTGATGGGGGCAAGAGTATCGAGTGTGGAGGAGAGGGTATTGTGGAGGAGGGAGAGAGGAGAAGAGGGGTCGGTGAGGGTTGAAGGCCAGAGGGAGAGGAGTTCAGAGGACTCCAAGGCATCGGTTAGGGATTGTGGGGGTAACTTCTTCCAAGGGCGGTAGAAGATGGTGGTGGGTCTGGTGGAGGTGGGGAGGGGGGTGGAGGTGGTGAAGGAGATGAAGTAGTGGTCAGAGATGGCCTTGTCGGTAATAGTGACATCCGAGACACTGAGGCCCCGGGTGATCACCAAATCGAGTGGGTGGCCGTGACTGTGAGTGGGGGAGTTTATGTGTAAGGAGAGGTTGAGTGAGGAGAGCAGGGAAGAGAAGTCTGTGGAGATGGAGCAGGAGGGGGTGAAGTGTAGGTTAAAGTCGCCCAGGATGATGAGGCGATCAGAGCAGAGGCAAAGAGATGTGAGGAGTGTTGAAATGTCAGAGATGAAGGTGGGAGAGGTTTTAGGGGGCCGGTAGAGGAGGAGGATTTTAAGGGAGAGGAATGAGGGGTGGGAGAGGGTGAGGTGCTCAAAGGAGGGGAAAGAGCCAGTGGAGTAGGGGGATAGGGCAAGTGGTGTCCTTGAGATAA